TCCAGACTCAGTGCTACGAGTCCATTACGGAATAGCAAGGCCATCCTGGACAGCTTTACGCGCATTGATACGACCAAGCCACATCTAAACCGATCAAACTTTAGAAACAAGACACACAAAACAAAACACGTTCGAGCGCCCACCTCGAGGCTCGGCCACTCATCAAGAGATTCGATACCCGCGAATTGATGAACATTAATCCTGAATACAATAGAACCAGAGTGAGAACATCAGAAAGACGTCTTCGCAAGGGAAACCGAACAAAGATGGTACCAACCATGGGAAAACGTTGATATCTGCAGCGCTATAGACGCCCCGGCCGGGCCCAGCGAGATAATCACGGTCTGTGAGGCGGATCTCCATCACGCCATAGAGGCGCTTCGTTTCCAGGATATAGCCTGATGTCGTCATCGTTAGGCGCATATGAGACACTAATCAACAGAAACAACTCACGCTTCTTTGCATAGGGAATGTCCTCGGGCGCAAACCTATTGAAATGATTCGCTGCACTGCGTCAACTCAAAACTTCAATACCAAGTTCGAATTTACAGACCTTGGCCCTGCATAGGACCAACGCCTCCATGCTGCAACCACCGAGTCATCAGTACTCGATCCCACCAGCTGCCACGGAATACTCACCGCCCAGAACATCCAATGAAGCATCTCGCTGTACTCATTCGGCTGCGACACAGGGTCAAACCCAAGCTTCCTCTCCGGATCATAATGCTGTTCGAGATACAGCAAAATAGCAGCTGTCTCAAACACGACGAAATCTTCCCGCGCGCGGTCGACGAGCACTGGGATTCGCCCGTTTGGGTTCAACTTGATGAACCAGGGCTCTTTTTGGTCGTTGCGTGAGATGTTTATTTTCTGGACGCTGTCAGAGTCAAAATTTGGGATATCGTCCCAGGAGAAGAGGGGGCACTCACTCATAATCGACCTTTTCTCCATAAACTGCTCTAAGTTCTTCGAGAAAAACACTAACTTTGCGTCCGTTTGGAGTTCCAGCGGTGTATAGAACAAAAGGCTTGGGCTTGGACGTATGTACAGTAGACATATTACGAGGGGTGGTTGATAGTGACCTTGCTACTGAGCTGAGACGGTTAAAGGCGACTTGCATTGCTTTCTAGGGGTATGGAGTGACGCCATGTTCGAGTACGGATGACCTGATCCGTATGACCGACGGGTGTTGTTGCTGACATATAAATTTATGGTTCAACCGCATCAGTCAGCAACTGGACACAATAATTTGCCCTCTACATAATTCGCGGACTTCTTGACTTCTCTATCAAGAACTGGACCCGGTCTTAAGCTTCTTCAGGCGTATCTTGCCGATCCGAGCGATCTAAGAGAGTTTGCTCAGAAGAATTTTGGAACAACGTCAATAGAGCCGAGCACCGCTCGACACTGTTCGGAACAAATTCTGAGTTGAAAACTTCAATCTTGGAACGGGAGAAGAACCAGTGGGAACTAGAAATTTTTTTTAAAACGTGTAAACCTGAATTTCTACCGCGAAAAAAAAAGAACTATAGCTATAAGTACACATATATAACGGGAGACCTGATGAAAAGTGAGAACGAAAAAGAGAATGGAAAATGAGAAAGGTAAGAGGGAGAGGAGCATGTATACGATATGATACTAGAAATACGATAGCCATCATGATGACTCACCCGCATCAGCCCATCAACAAACGGAGTATGAAAAGGGCTAGACAAAATATGCGAAAAGAGAACAGAACTCGAAAGCGGCTGTACTGTAACTAGATGAGAACGCGTGCATGCGATAAACCAGGAGATGAGATAAACAGTGACATAACATGGTCCAAGATCGTCGCACAATTGAAATGCGGTCATGCAGAACGTCCGAGCGGATAGGGCAGAGCAGAGAGCAAAGATTGTGTCTTGATAGCATCGAGGAAAGCGCTGGGACGCATGGCACGTCGAGCAAAGCAGTGATTGGCATCGTAACATCCCACTGACATGGCATGAAATCAACAGAACGCAAATAAAAATCAGCGCTCCTCCGCATTTTTATGGCTCTCGCCCCTCGCCGTCTCCCCGCTCCCGCTCCCACCACCACCATTGAACACCCCCGAGCCCGAGTAATACATCCTACCCGGTGGCCGCGCCCCATCTGTTTGTGGTTGGCGAAGCGTATTTGGACGCTCAGGCCCAGGTACAGCCTGAGATCGTAGCGGCGGTGTGCCTTTTGGATTAGCCGCAGGCACGACAGGCCCACCGCGACTGGATGAAGGAGCAAATGGCGAATACGGTGTTTGGGATTGGGGTTGCGATTGCGACTGGCCCTGGTCGAGACGCGGGGCGTCTAATCGTGCGACGGAGGACGACATCCTGCGGTCACGGTCTGTATCAGGAGAACGAGACGCGGCGCGATCCCGGTCTTTATCGGTGCCCCAGCTAAGCGGCGACGCTCGTCTGCGTTGCTCAGTGCCAGTGGTTGGGAATCTGTATGACGAAGATGGTTCCGAACCCGAACTCGTCGTTCCATTTTGTTGGAACTTTGACTGCGGATATCCAACACCGCCGCCGCTCGTACTTTGATTCCGCGCCGAATCCGCACGCACTGCACGAAGTGCCTCCTCCAACAAATCCAAGCGCTGACGCATACCCTGCATCTCCTCCTGCATCGACCGCGTCCGTTTCTCCACCAACTCCTCGACCACCGCATCTACCTTCTGCAGAGATTGGAGGAGCGCGTTTGATTTTTGAAGCTGCTCAGACAGCCAGTTTTTCATCTGCTTCGAATCGTTGAGCGCGTCGTAAAAGACTTCGAAAGGCGCTAGAAATGCAGATTTATCTCCTGAGTAACCGGGGTGTTGAAGGGCGCGAGGTGTGGGCGGGACTAATGAACTGGCGATTGGTATAGCAGGGGGAGATCTTGTAGTCGCCGTCTTGGGTGCGCTCACCGAGGGACCTATCGTGTGCTGCAAGCCAAATCGGGTAGGTGTTGGAGGAACGTTGGTGGCTACTCTTCGCGTGGTCTGGTTTCCGCTTAGAGCGGTTGGAAGTCGTGGTAAAGCCATGGGGAACCGACCGAATTCTGGGACTGGAGGGGCGCTTTGTATGACAGGTGCGAGCGGATCAGAAGAGTTAATCCCACGAGGGCTGATGACAATATCAGCGGGTTTTCTTTTGCGACCACCGGACTGAGCTGCGCGACGACGTGCGAAACTAATAGGGGGAGGTGGTAGGGAGTTTGAAGGAGGGCTTTTCAGAGGTATCTCGGGTTGATTTTGGGTTGCGGTGAGAGAGAGCGGTTGCTGACTTGGGACAATCATAGGAGGAGGGGTGAGTGGCTGTGATTGAACAGTCGCACGACTGCCAGATACCAGAGTATTTCCACCTGAACGGGTGGCTGTATTGGGACTACGCCTACCCAACCTTGGGAGACTTAGCTTTGATGCTGCCAAGGAACCGTCCGGGGGGGAAGAAGAAGAAGAAGTACCATTATTAATAGCAGCTGGGAGCATGGGACACGGAGCGGGGGGAGCAGCGAAACTTGGTCTGCGCTGTTCGATGAGCTGCTGTTGTTTTATGGTAGACCTCGGGTGAACGTCTTCTACTGTTGGTATTGATATGACCACGGGAGTTATTGGGGTTGAATGTGAAATTTCAGAGGAGGAAGGGGTGGTTGAGGGAGGGAGTGTGGTACCACTCACAGTCACCCGTCGTTTCTTTGGTGACGGTGGAATGACAGTAGGAGAAGTGATTTGAGGAGGGGAAGGAGAATCGATGATACTATCATCAAGGTCATCTTCCTCCTTGATTCTAAGGACTCTGGGTGACTGACGGCTAAGATTTTGATTGAGAATGGGATTGAAAATAGGACGAGGACATACCCAGAGTCATCTGTACTATCACGACGGATTGCTACGTCTTCTCTTGAACGTTTCCTTGAGTTTCTTAATTGTTCTACGCTAGGTTGCCTTGATGGAGAAATTGTATGATGAGTTCTTGGTTGAATTGGTGGTAACGCGTTATTAGAATTTGGGATTGAACTAAGAGAAGAGGTGCTAAATGCCTGGGCGAAGGAGGGTAGAGACTGTGGAGCGTGATTGACGGACATGGTCGTGGTAATCGTTGTCGGTGTCGTTGTGGTGGTCGTTGTTGTCGTTGTGGTTGAAACGGAACCGAATGATGAATTCAATTGGAATTGAAGAGATGAACCAAAAATGAATTGCAGGTTGGTGTTAGCTTCCACAAGAAGATTCGACTTATTCGCGTAATTGAGACCGTTCCAATGGCGAGATCATGATAGAGGCTTTTTAATTAAGTCGAATGGTAAGCACAGCTAAAGATGATCATAGTAGTAATCATCAACTATCACCTGTGCAACACTATGCAAAACACTGCAACTCGGCTTTCGGTCAACTTGATAGTAAATCATTATCCGATGTCTCGGCCATCCGATGTTAAGGCCTCGAGGCTTATGGAGACCTATAATCACACAGTCATTCTATAGGTGAACTACACTCGGGGCTTTCCTTCGCAACCGATAGGCAAGGGCGTAGCTGATACCCTGCTAGCTGCCCCCATTGCACGTGTAGAACTATATTATACCGTAACACTCGTGGGTACCCTTTGCTTCCACACAATAACCTCCAGCCTTCTAAAAACAGCGGTACTTACTACAAGAACACCGTAAGCGAGTTCATTTAACCCGAAAACCAATCTCACTTTTTAACACCTGAACTCGTCGAGAATCTTCCACAGAACCCAAACCTAGATCAAAATTCAAATTCACCCATCAGACCCAATCCCCCCCCCGTAACCATCCTCCCCCATGAAGGTACACGGTCCAAGATCCGATCACTCCATCACAGGCGTTGACATCTCATTTCAATCCATAAATGGGTACCCGCGACGCTCAACTACATCCTCGAACAAGCCAGTGAAACCTCAAAAACCAAGCGACGTAAACGCGGTAGCCTCCCAGAAGCAAATTTCAAATCTGATAGACGTTATTCACCGCGCATCTCTTTATGATTTCGTCCGCTTCTTCCTCGCTGTCAACACCGTGATTATTGGAGGTCTGCCGTTACCAGCGCTTGTGGCTTCCCCGTGTTCCTTCATCGGCGGTGGGCAATTTTTGACCGCAATCGTACCATATATGTACGAGTGGTATGTTTCCAGAGAAGCAACTGGCTCCGGAAATGGATTGGGAGATATGTCGACCATCGGTCTCTTTCCATTCACGAGACGAGGTGGGGGCGTCTGTGGAGGTGCTAGAGTGCTCCGAATAGGCTCAGGCTCAGGCGTTTGTCGCCCCGATCTGTCTGCTATGACAAGCGGAAGAGGATTCGACTTGAGTCCATCGCACAACCCTCGTATGGAATCTTCAATCACTTTAGTCGACCACACCGCCTTTTCCACAGATGGAAATTCGTGAGCAGTCAATAGTGACGTCAACACACGTTTGTTCATCTGTGACGAAACCTGCCCTGCTTGGGGTGCAAGTGGTGACACTTCACTCGCAGTGACTGTCGAAGCCGGTCTGCTGGTACCAGAGACAGCAATCACGAAAAACCCGGTGACCGCCCCTGCAATACATTCCTGTCGGAACGACATCCGCTCCCAGAATTCTTCCACAGACACCTTCTTGACTTCTTTAAGCGTCTGGTCCTCTTTTTTACTCCGACCTTCCTTCTTTTCTGAAGCGTCGGCTGACGAGGTGTCTTCTTCGTGCGTCTTTAACGTATCCGCTCTTGCGCGTTTTCGCTCTGGGGACCTCACCCCATCCGCATCCGTCGTGTACGCAATCTCATCGATAAATCGAGATTTAGGGTCATCATCAAATGACGGTATACATTGCCCAAGATGACGAGGCGAATCGCCTCCCGAAGGACAAGGACATGGTAGGGAGATTTCGTCCTGCGAATAAGGGTGACCGTATGTCCAACTGCACGAACCAGTCGATGGGTATACCCGCTCCAACGAGTGATGAGCTTCAAACTCGCTGAGACCGGGTAAGATGTAATACAGTTTGGTGCGGCATGTATCTCCCACGCGAGACGCCAACTCGCCTACGACAGTGCTGAATTGGCGTTTCCACCAAGCACAGAGCTTGATATCGCTTAGGGGGCGCTTGTTCGGGTATTCTGAAGAGTTTGGGAATAGATATTGATTCTGTGCTCTCGCAAAGACGTGAATCCATAGATGGTTAACGGAGATGGGACGCGTGGCAGGGTCTGCGTAGAACAGCAGGAGTGCACGAACAAGAGCTGGAGTGGGAGATGGTGCGGTTGCTTGTCCGGTAGAGTCCACTTTTGAGACATACAATATCGCACAGGACGTCGTAGGGATGTTATACACGCATGCTTCGATTGCAGAGACGAACACGGAAGAAGAGTCTGGTGTGGTTTGCTCGGAAAGCAGAATCAAAATATCTTGCAAGTACGACCTTGGTCGCGGATTCGCAAACGGGAAAAGGTTGCCGTGCTTTCTGGGTGATGAGACCAGGACATGAAGATGGAACTCACGAGTTCCTGGTAGGCTGTTGAGGCCTGCTAGGAGCGCGTCCCGCAAAGTCATGACTGCGATACGTGGGAATATGCGATTTCTGCTCAGCGGCACAAGAACAAGGAACCCGAATAGGTCGGTGAGTGCCCCAGGTAGGGGTCAGACCGGTCAAGGTTAACGTTGGGCCGAACCAAGGAGGAGATCAACTCGGGGCTATGGTGCTGCTCCACCGTCCTGTGTATCGAAACGGAGAACCACTGCCCTGTAATCACACACGCCTCACAGCTCCACTCAACTGCCACTAGTACTGATGTTGTCATAGCTAGATCAATCACAGATCGTAGACTATGCCCCTTCAAAGTTTCGCTCCCGAGAGCATGTAAAGAGGAAGCAAAAGGAAGAGAACATCTACTTGATCTTCTGAGGGCAATGCATGATATTACAAGAAGGAATGTATGATACAAGGAGTTGGCTTGATAAAGGCTAGAATCATGCCACGTATGCAAATGTGTCTCTCGTACCATCGACGCGCTCAATATATTCCTTCTCCAATAGTGTATCAATTGCCTGGGACCACAGATAAGTGGACGTTAAGCGAAGAAACAAGGAATCCTACCTTCTTGATATCGGGAATCTTGGGGGCGAATCGTTGCGAAATCTGAGAAATCACCTCCTGAATCAAAGGCTGGTTCTTCATCGTCTTGCGTGCCTTCATGATTCGAACGATAGTGGCCTGGATCACATATTTACGGTCCTCATCAACAGTTTTGAGTACCTCCGAGGACTCCGCTTTCACCTCAGCCTTGATTGGCTGATTCAAGTTGACACGGATCTTCTTAGACTTGAAGTCTAACCAAAGTGTATTAGTCCCAAACGTAATGCGAAACGGGGTAAGCCATACTGGGGTTCAAATCATATTGATCGGTCTCCTCGTTGATAAGAACTTTGGCCTTCACCAAAAGCGTCAGCACCTGAGTCAAGATGTCCTTGCTGATAGCCGTGGCAGTAATCAACTCCTCCAGTGATAACGTGTCATGTTTGTTATACTGCAGGAGAACGGACATTTGATAAGAACTGGTCATCAAGATGTACTTCTGATTGAGGTAATTCGTCCTCAGCTCGTTCTTCGAGTAATTCCACAACCATGTTAGTTTGCGGCCGGAGTGCTTCGTCTGATAGTACTTGGAGAAGCGATCGTACGTAGGAAGAATTTCAGGAGGAATGATGAAATCGTTGTTCGGTGCACTGAGTGGCCAGAAGTTCGTGCCGAGAACCATGATGGAGAAGTTGATGTCCATGTCCTCGTGATTCGCCATTCGCTCCTTGAACTGATCAGTTAGGTCTTTACTGAGACTCATGTCTATAGAAAAAAATAAGCGGCCGCAAGGTGGTGTGTGGGGTATGGAACATACCGGTGAACATTCTCTGTAACTTGTTGGTGTACTCGAAACCACAAGCTTCCTTCAACTTGGAGATCATGCTCGCCTCGCTCTCGTCGGATGCAGATACGCCGTGAATCAGGCGCTTGGACAATTTGGTAGCATAGAACGTCTGGAAGACGTCCTTGTCCTCGATGTACTTGAAAAGTACCATCTACATACACGAATGAGACATCAGTGAAAATCATCGAGCGAGGTACTTACCACGCGGTTCAGAGCACCTTCAAGGTCCTCCTCCTCAGCCATCTTGTTGTTTTTGCGAAGCAACATGTCCGCGTGCTTCGCGAGCAATTCTGGCGACTTTGTCGTCGACGAACCCGTTGCAGAATTGCGATTGACAAACTCTCTGCATGCCTTATCGAGCGACGCAACAAAGCCAGCTTCTCCCCTGAAGCTCCTCGTGACGGTGTCCGAGTTCTTGCGATGAACCTCAAGCAGTGCATCAACGTATGCCTTGGGATCCAACGAATCTGCACCCTCTGATCCTTCGCCCAAGAGTTTCGCAACAGCAGCCAGACCAGCCTTCTTCACATGTTCCTCAAATTTCTTTCTCAAAGGCTCCAGGCCTTCGGGTATGCGCGATAATAATGCATACATCCTCTGCAGGTCTTCGTCTTTGTCAAAATCGAGCAAGCTTTGGAAGCTCTCCCACATGAGGTCAGAGTGCTGACGGATCAGCACATGCTCGCACTTGCTGACGAGCTGTTTCCGTGTGTCAGTGTTTAGGTATCGGTCGACACGGTCCTCTTCCTCCTTCAGGCGCTCTTCGGCTTTTTTCAGATAGTCAGATACACTGCTCTCTGCGAGAAATGCCTCGGATTCCTGCTCGTAATACTTCTCCGTTGCGTCAAGGAACGGTGTCTCCAGGTGCTCCCTGTATACATCAAGCGATGCCTTGTTGATGTCTGACTCGTCAAGACCAAGCGAAACGAATGAGTCAACCACTTTTTTCACAAGGCCTTGATCGATCGTCTCGCCATTTCTTTGGCGCTCGATCAATCGGAGGATGGCACCAGCAAGCTTTGTGTGCTTGCTCTGGACATGGAGGAAGAAATTCGATTTCCATTGCACGAGCGCGAGCTGTGAGAGGTAATGTGTGTATGAGGATCAGTGTGACAGCGTGAAGAAAAGGGGTGGCGCACGGTGTATACAGGATATACACCCTTCCGACCTTCATCCCTTTCTCGCTTCACCCAGTGGCGATTGAGGTACGTGAATAGTCGATTGATGTAGTTAGCACCTGTCGTGTATCTGTCCCATTCACTGGCGTAATATCGTAGGAGAGCTTCATCTTGGAGGGAATCGGATTGCTATAGGACGGATAAGAATTATGTTTGATCGCGCATGATATCAGGGAAAGGGAGTCAACCTACATCCTTGAGAAGCTTGAGATGGGTGATGAAATACCGAATGAGATTGTTGTACAGATCCGAGCCCATCAGGTTAGCCCCTGCTGTTGAGGAGTCAGACTGTGGTCTTATCACTACAGGAAAGACATTGCTTCCTATGACACTCACTTCGACTTCCCTGACCAACAGTATCGGTAGTGGTATTATGCATGCGCGAGGACGTGCAATAATTGTAAGCCACAGTGTAGAGGCTCATGTACTTGGAATATGAGACGCCAGTCTGGAGCTTGGTCATGATGTGGTCCACTCCCTCCTCAAGAAAAGCCCATGTTGTTGCAAGATCTGCACTCGCAGGTGGCATTGGATGAGAAACATTGGCGGACGTTGTTGTTGATGACATGATGATCGTTTGTGAAGGACAGCTGTCGTGACTTGTGAGTACGCACGCTGAGGCGCGGCTGTCACACTGGTGGCGCTACCTCGCGTGCTTTGCACAAATATTGTTTGCAACAACTCACACAAAACAAAAAGAAAGTGAGACAGACGGTGGGTATTAGAATCGTAGTACGAGAATGAAAATTATGTTATTGCTAAATCTTCACTCCTGTGTGTATCGAGGCAATGCCTCCCCAGAGTTCTGTCCATGCGCCACCATCAAAATCACCTCCTGTGGAGAACCCTGCATCTCTGATCATCTGCGCAAAGTCGGGCTGGCTTGGGAATTTGCGTATAGATTCCACCAAATACTGGTATGAATTACGGTCACCAGCTAGAATGGTTCCAAGCAGTGGGATGACCGTGAATGAGTATTGGTCGTATAGTCTACAGACTAAATTAAAATGAGATAGTAATGAAATGAAAATCACTTACGTGCTCAGGAGCGAGTTATTAACCTTGCTGAATTCAAGACACGCGAAGGTAGCACCAGGCTTGAGAACGCGGTAAGCCTCGCTTAACACAGCGGGGACAGACGTGCAGTTGCGGATGCCAAATGCAATTGTGTAGAGGTCGTATGAATCATTCTTGAACTGAGAAGCAGTCAGCTCTTGTGCATTTGCCTCATGGAATGAAACCTGAGGTGCTGGCAGATGTCATGAAGTAGAGTATAGGACAGGCACGGTAAGCTCACTATTGTGATACATTGTCTTTTTGAACCTCATGAATCCCTCCTTCAGCATCTGCGCGTTGATGTCCACGATGTCCACGGTCGTCTCTCTGTCCGCATAGTTCTCCCTTGCATGATCCAAGATACGGAGAGCAATGTCGCCTGTTCCTCCTGCAACGTCTATACACCGAAGGGGACCTTTGCGACCTGGTTTGAGAGTATCTACAAAAGAGTCTTTCCACAGCCTGTGCACACCGAGGGAGCTTGCATCATTCATCAAGTCATACTTGGACGCAACAGAGTCGAAAACACCCTTCACGAGGGATTCCTTCGACTCCTCTGGAACTGTCCTGAAGCCAAACGAAGTCGTCCGGCCAGCAGGACCTGATGAACGAAGGATATGATGATTATGAATCAGGCGGCATGCTGACAGCTTGCGAGGTATTGACCTTGTTACCTGCATAACTCGAATGAACTTTTGGAGCAGACAACACGTCCGCTATAGGGATGGGAATATTATGTAAGCGTCAATGTTTTGCTTGACTTGACTGACCAGGCTGAACGTTGAACACTCCTGCGGACAACTCAAATGCTAAAGCCACGGTTATCTCTTTGGTTCACTCGTGGTTATGCTACTCGCATTGCAGAAAAGCCTCCAGCACGTTTTCCAGATCCATTACTGAATGCTCCCAACGTTGCTGCCAAAACACTCAAGGACGAGAACTTGACATTCATTCATCGACCTCCCCCAACAGTACCTTCACCTCATTCAACAACTTTAGCTCCTGCTTCTCCGTTGCTCAAATCTCCGACACCATCTAATAAACATGCACCCATGCCACCTTTCTTGCGGCCTTCGGCTTACAATGCTGCACCATTACGAATGTCTGATAAAGACATTGAGCAACTACGAAAGTTGAGGCTGTCTAATCCAGAAAAACACAGCCGTGCTAAACTTGCAAAACTGTTCAAATGCACGCCAAACTTTGTGTCCAAGATTGCTGCCCTCCCGAGGCCCAAACGGAAGGAGTTTGCAAGGAAGATGGAGGCGGAGCATGAGACTGTAAGGGGGCAGTGGGGAGAGAAGAAGGCTACCTTTGTTGCTATTAAGCAGAAACGCCGCGAGTTCTGGTGAGGTACGGAGCACCATGGCTATATCTTCTTGGTCCGTTTCTCAGGCCTCTAATGATTTGTGCACGACTGACTAGCACTGGGTTCATCAGCGTAACTAGAGTCGTAGCCTGTGTAGATGGATTTTGCCTGTTACGTTACCGACGCAATTGATCCTACTTTACTTCGCCGACGCGACAACCCGTTCCGTAATTTTCCGTCCTTCCGACTCTTGTCACTCTTTCTAAATCGGGAGCACGACTCAACTATCGTTCCACTTCTCTCCATGGGCCTGCATGGTCAAATGAGTCGATTTTCATGCCAACGCGCTAGCTCTGGTGTTTCCTCCGTGGTCCAATTACATTAATCCATCGTTTTTAATACTAGCCTGATGTAAATTTTTTGCCGAAACGGCGAAGGTACATATTTCCCCGAATCCTGTTCAAGCCCTTTTTATAGACTCTGAAGACGTGGGGGGTCTGGACTCACAGCTTCGTGAACTTCCTCCTCTCGTACCACCTTGTACCGAGAACTTTGTTACAGTATCTGAATGCTGTGTCGTGCCACTTGCTCTTCCTATAAAGCTACACTGGCTCCTGCGTTCAACCGCCCAGCACGTTCTCTCGCATCCAATTTTCATACCATGGCGTCAACTCGTTTTCCTCCCCATTTTGCCCAAACTGATCACCGTCAGCGCTCTCTCAACCAAATGCGTTCCAAACAGCTTAGTATTGAAAAATACATCTACCTAAATGGCCTCAAAGGGCGTGACTCTAACCTGTTCTATGACATTTTGCTTGAGAACATGCAAGTAAGCCTGCTCGTCGTCTCGTGTAAAACCGGGACTGAGATGTTTTGAATTACTCAGGAAATGATTCCCATCTTGTATACACCAACTGTAAGGTGCTTCACCAGGTCGTGTGACCATACTTAAGAAGTGCTCTTCGAAGGTTGGAGAAGCTTGTGTCAACTACTCCCATATATGGAGGCGACCCGAGGGTCTTTATGTCTCCATTGAAGACAAGGGTCGCATTCGTGACGTTTTGGCCACCTGGCCAAATTTCAACGATGGCCGTATAGCCGTCGTTACCGATGGTAGGCTAAATTGATGCTCCATGTTATGTATCTTCCTGATCAAATCATCAGGCTCTCGTATTCTCGGTTTGGGCGATCTTGGGGCAAACGGTCTGCCCATCAGTCTTGGGAAGTTGTGAGTGTTTACGCTTTTCCAGAGAATCCTTCAACGAACATAACTACGCAGGGACCTCTACATCGCTGGTGCCGGCATCAAACCGTCATCTACCGTAAGTCCATGCTTTTCATATTAACCTGCGCCCAATTGACTCTGGCCAGGTCCCGATTTGCCTGGATTTAGGTACCAATACACAACGTTACCTCGACGATCCTCTCTACATCGGCGTTCGCCGCCCACGCCCGTTGGGCGCGGAAGTAAGTCCCCTGCTATCATATGCACGTCCATATATTCACATGTGTATTGAAGATGGACGAATTCATGGACGAGTTCATGGAGGCCATGAAAGAAGTCTTCCCCACCCTACTAGTACAATTCGAAGACTTCTCAACGGACAACGCGTTCAAATACCTTGAACGGTATCGCCATCAATATCGTGTTTTCAATGATGATGTCAGTCAATCACATTCCAGCTTTCACTCTGTTTTCATGCTGACCCCTGTGCAGATCCAAGGCACTGGATCCGTGATCTTGTCAGGTTTCACAAATGCCGCTCGTTTGTCTTCTGCCGCTTCCGGGCTGCCGCCATCAGATCACAAAATCCTGTTCCTCGGAGCCGGTTCTGCAGGTATCGGTGTTGCCAAGCAATTATTGTCCTTCTTTACCTTGTCTGGTCTGAGTCCCGAAGAGGCAAGGTCTCGAATCTACGTGAGCCAAGCCACATTCGAAGGGCATTTGAATTTGTCACTCAATAAGCCTGTTAGACTGTTGATTCGAAAGGTCTTATTACTGCCAACCGCAAAGGTCTTCAAGAGCACAAGAAGTGTACGAAGATATGTTTGTGTCGTTTTCTACGAACTAAACTGCAATTACAGTCTTCGCGCGCACTGATTACGATGGCCCTGCGCTCACTGACCTCGTTGACATCATCAACCACGTGAAGCCCACCGCCTTGCTCGGCCTGAGCACCATCAGAGTACGCCTTCCAGTGATAGTTGTGTTTTGCATAACCTCACTTCGTTCTAGAATGCATTCACCGAGAAAGTCGTTAAGGCGATGTGTGCGCTGAACTCCCGTCCCATCATCTTTCCTTTGTCGAATCCCGTCGCGCTATGCGAACTGGACTACCAGGACGCCATCGAATGGTAAGTTAACAGAACCCCCGCAGTATAGTCGATGTTGATGATCCTCGCCTGTAAAGGTCCGATGGACAGGTCATCTTCGCGTCAGGCAGCCCGTACAAGCCATTGTCTCATAATGGTGTCGTGTACGAGCCTGGCCAAGGAAACAACATGTACATCTTCCCCGGTATCGGCCTCGGTGCGATCCTCTCCCGAACTCGGCACGTATCGGATGCTATGATTGAACAGGCAGCCATCTCACTTGCCAACTCCTTGACCGAGGAAGAGAAGGCGGCCGAGCTTGTATATCCTCGCCTTGCGCGCATCAGGGATATCAGCGCCCAGGTCGCATTTGCCGTTATTAGACAAGCCCAAAAAGATGTAAGGAGGGAACGATACCCACGCCTGATTAGAAATTCGATGCTGATCTTTATACTCCAGAAATTGGACGATAATGCTTATCTGCGTACACTCCCCGATTCCGATCTTTTGGGACTCATTCATGACAAGATGTGGCAGCCATCTGCGTTGCAGCTGCGTTCGTTTACGCGACTTTAGTTGGGAATAGTCAAGGGGATGGAGTTAAGACAGAAGTCTGAGACTGTCAGGACGGGCGACGGAGAATGCGGGAGGGCGACGGAATGTTTCTATTCTCGGCTTTTGTCACTTGCATGCTATTGCTCTCCTTATGTCCCATTCATCGTCCTCCACCGGGCAGTGTGTATGTATGTATTGTTAATTATTTGAATAGAAGGAGTTAAAAGAATCATTTGGATGACCGGTAGCATCTATGTAAGACTGTTAATGGGGTTTGATGGAATCATGTGTGATATGTGACTAGTGAGTGGGAGGAGATGACTGTTTCATTATACATCTATCCGATCGTTATGCATCTATCTGCTCATCGATATGTGCCGGGGCGTTGCCTTCTTTTTGTCTCCAGTGTGCAATGCTGTAGCGGTGGTTAACACCCTTGAGCGCAGGCAGACATGCAGATCCACCGCATCCTCCTGTCTGTGGCATGGGGACAATGTAGAAAACCTCTTTGACGCGCGAATGCAGCAGTGCCATGCTGCACATGATGCACGGTTCGTGAGTTATGAAGAGCGTAAGCCCAGTTAGCAGGTAATTTACGCCGTTGGACGATGTGTCTGAGATTCCAAGGCTGCCGTTGGAAGGGGAAGTAGCGGGCTTTAGGGGGTCAGATAGAAGATCGGCGGGGGTCGTTTGTGCACGCCAATCGGCTACGTTTCGAATGATGTTCATTGCAGCATGGCGCAAAGGATGCCCAGTGGATATACGCGTGTCTTTGGCTGTAAATGACCGAGACAATAGAGCTTCGTCTTCGAAGGGCTTAGGCACGTATGCAACGACCGGAAGCTGAGAGACTGTGAGTATACCTTCTCATCCCAGACTTCTAATTAACCAACCTCGTCACTTGACGCTGTCTCAGCAGTATTTCGTAAAATGTGATTGATGGCATCACGAGCCCATTGAACTTTAGCAATAGACCATTTCTCGGGTTCCCATTTTCGCCGTGGTGCGTATACAGTAGGCCACAACGTATTTTTTAAGATAAGTGATGTTTGTGTTAAAGCGGGATTGCAGGGGACAGAAATCTGATAGGGATCTCCGATATCAATGTTCGTAGGAAGTAAAGGAACAGAGGACGAGACGCTGAGCAGGAGCGTAGAGATACTGTCTCTTTTCCTGATGCGTTTGAGATGTGATAGAGTATCGCTCTCGAGGCCCGACTGTTTCAGCCATCTAGTAGCTTTGAGTGTTGGTTGGGGACATCGGAGCGAATAACCTCACTTTAACATTGTCGCTATGTATTTCGAGTTCGAGATGTCAACCGCCCAGGCTTGCACTAAATGGTGTGATGAGTACGCTCTCAAATTTCAAAAGGTACATTGGGAGGACATACTTGTCCTGATATCTTCCATCGACTCCTCTTCTTCATCTATTTGGAGCTTCTTCCAAATGAAAGGAAGAGCCTCGCCTTCCAGGATATCGTGCGGGTCACCGCTAGTGTCCCATGGTTCAACCTCAACCACTTCAATATCGATGGCTAGAATGTCGAGAAATTCGGACTGGTCACTCTGGTCGAGATAGACTTGAGGTTCCAAATTTTCTGTAGTGCCCACAGGATCAAACCAGAGGTTTTGGCCGTAGAAGATACACATCTCTTCCTCGGGGTTGATTGTCCTTGTAGACGTGTATCTGATACACTGATGGGCGGGATCGATCGTGTATGACACATTTGGATGGCTGGAATGATTGAAAATGGAGCCTAAGCAGTACCACCGTGTCTCCATTGAGTTAACAATGATGATGTGCAGAACAAATCTCACCGAGCCCAAGGGCGAGAGCCATTCGTCCATCTCGCCATTTATATACATAATGGTCCAGGATCGTATGTCTCCCATAGTCATTGTACTCAGTTCTGGTGAAAAGAAGGACAGGGCTAACTTCGATCACGGTCTGGGGTGGTATAATGCGAGATGCTGCGAACCGCCATTTTTCTTCAACTTTTATTATAAGATCTATACGAGATTGCTCACCATAAACACCTCTTCCTTTGCCTTCTGCAGTCCTTATACAACATCCTTCACGATTCAAGACCCAGTTACTCTGGCACCATGAATTTTCCGTAGATGATTCCCCTGAGCTAGTTGAGGTGTTTGATGTCGTGACTGTAAACAGAAGAGTAGCCATAGGCCATCTCACGTGCTCAAATTCACACTTGCTCCTGACACGTACATCTTAAACGGCGCGTCAGTCACGGTGGAGAGCTTTATCAACAAGAACATTGACATTACACTGGAGTTTCGGCGGGCAAGCCATGGCGCCTCCACTATCCCCCAGGCCACTTCCTAGCATTTTGCTCATATCCCTAATACCAATTGCTTCATGGTTTGTTGTTCGTCCTCTGCTAGACCCTGTCCCTCCATTGCCAGCTCTATGGACATCTGTTGGGTTTTCCATATTTGCGTTTGTTGCCGCGCTTTACTTGGTTCCTGCACTTGGACCAACATTCGTAAAAGCTAACTTGAAAGGGAAGGATCTTTTGAAGGTCTACTCCGATCCTATGTTCGTGTCGTTAAACAAGTGCGAGGTCGAAAGCTGACCTGCATATTAAGACCAGAGAGTCAAGGCCTCGTCTGCGCGTCGATATATATCCTGCTATTAATCTTATTCATTCCTTTCCCATTCTCAACTTCCATCGCAAGCCTTTCGGGCGGAGGAAGCAAGATCGAAGGCTTGCTGGGCGCTGCGTCTCTACATCATGAGGTAAGTGTCTCCTCAGTGTTAAGAATAATCTTTGTGTAACAAGCAGTTAAGCTATCTGTATATCTGTCATCGTTGCTATCGCTCTTGATGGCAACTGTGTTGGGGTTCCTCGACGATGTGTTCGATATTCGATGGAGGCATAAACTGCCTATCCCGCTTATTGCTGCCATACCGCTCTTGATGGTCTACTATGCGGAAGGAGGCAATACTCATGTAGTTGTACCCATTCCTCTTAGGCCATTCCTTGGCCTTCTCGTCAACCTAGGTTTGTGATTTTCATCGTATCATCGCTTGTGATGCCTCAACATACCTTCAGGTCCCCTATATTATCTTTATATGTCCCTCCTCTCGACATTCACCACTAATAGCATCAATATTCTCGCTGGGATCAATGGCTCCGAAGTCAGCCAAGCATTGATCATTGCAATCTCAGTTATCATCAACGATCTTTTATACATGCCCTGGCCATTTGACTTCCGTATACCCATGCACCTTCTCGGTAATCAAATAGAAGTCGAAATTGGTGGCGCTTGGCAGGCAGGAATGGCCTACGGAAGTAGCGAACTTGTTGATAGACATCTTTTCAGTCTGTACTTCATGCTTCCTCTCGTAGGTGTATGTCTTGGATTTATGTACCATAACTGGTGGGTTCGAATGACTAAAAGTCCTCGAATTGCTATTTCTCATTACCCATAGGTACCCTGCGCGTGCGTTCCCTGGAGACACGCTCTGTTATGTTACTGGAATGGCCTTCTCCGTGGTCGGAATACAGGCACACTTCTCCAAAACTCTACTCCTGTTCTTTATTCCTCAAATTTTCAACTTTTTGCTCTCATGCCCACAGCTCTTCGGTATCGTGCCGTGTCCTCGGCATCGCGTTCCAAGGTTGTACCATAATTTCTGAGACACAGTCCGTCATTGACCAACTTATGATATCATCTTAGATTCGTTTCCGACACTAATTTGTTGCATCCCTCAAAAGCCGTCTTCGATAAACGACCTCCTACGAAGCTCGCGTCTATTACCCTTCGTATATTCGCTACACTCGGTCTCACAGAGCTGACTGTGGACCCAACAAATGGAGTTGTCCTTGAAGCCACCAATCTGACTATCCTCAATTTCCTTCTCTTGCGTCTGGGTCCTATGAACGAGAAGAAGCTCGTCCAGGTACTTATGTGTACTCAGGTGCGCAGGTCTAGCATACCACTGTTCGCCAAATTACTGACACTGGCTGGCATATCCTTGAATCCTTTCCTAACAGATCGCGGGTAGTGTCCTTGCTTTTACCATACGCTACGGCTTAGCTGGCCTTGTCTATGATGGCGACAGGCGGTGATGGTACATATATTGTCATGGGGCGCGCCTTATAATGGGTCGCGTGCCTGCCCCTGGATACGACGGCTTTGCGTTGGCACAAACAGCCCGCGCTCGTCACGATCAGTGACGTGCGGAGATCCGCTGTCGTGAGAGAATTGAACTGAGTCAAGACTGTACATGTAGAATGTAGAATGCAGAGGAGTGAGCGCTTGAGCAGCTGGTGCAGTGTTGGGCAAGAATAACTATTTGGAACTAACGAAGATGCGGCCACCTCGGGGTCTTTTATGTCGGCCGAATGCCCTGCTGGGCGTAGCTTTGAGCAGGTTTCCCGCTGAAAATCCGTATAACGCCGCCTGCGTGCTCCGTGTTTCCGGACATAGAGCGTAATCACGAGCCTCTCATCGTTATTATCGGCTTGTGATCTGTATCAAGATGTATGAGCTCTGACACTACTAGTTTATTTTTCTTCGCTTGTTTCAAATGAACTAGTGGGGTGGAATCACATGTCTCAGTCATACCTCGCCGCTGAGCTTTACTGACCACTTAATAGATTCCACCCTCCCCATCTCAATATCCTATTCCTGTCACTTCCCATATTGTTATGGCCAATACTGAACGATCCGCTTTCCAGACTGAGGTCGCTGAGGTCGAACGGTGGTTCCAGGTGAGCCCCTAAACTCCCATAACTGAGTTGCAGTATTGAGCAATGTCGATCATGAAGAGCCCACGTTTCGCGAGAGTGAAGCGGCCATATACCGCTGCTCAGGTCGTCGCGAAACGGGGTAGCATCCCAATCAAGTATCCTTCCGAGATTCAAGGAAAGAAGCTCTTCGCCCTGCTCTCCGAGCACGCCAAGAATGGTACACCTTCACACACATACGGAGCGTAAGTGACCTTCGCACAACTACTGTGTGACGGTATTGATGGAAGGTGCATAGCCTAGACCCCGTACAGGTTACCCAGATGGCCAAGTATCTCGAGACAGTTTATGTTTCTGGTTGGCAATCCTCCAGCACGGCTTCGTCTACCAATGAACCTGGCCCCGATCTTGCAGGTACGCACTCTCCTTCTGCGATGACGTAGTTTTCCTAACTGGCTTCCAGATTACCCCTCGAATACGGTTCCTAACAAGGTTGAGCACCTATTCATGGCACAGCTCTTCCATGACCGTAAGCAACACGAGGCTCGCTCGAATATGTCTGAGGCAGAGCTTGCGGCGACACCATCCATCGACTATCTTCGTCCAATCGTTGCCGATGCTGATACCGGACATGGTGGACTCACTGCAATTATGAAGCTTACCAAGATGTTCGTCGAAAAAGGCGCGGCTGGTGTTCATGTCGAGGACCAAGCACCTGGGACAAAGAAGTGCGGCCACATGGCGGGCAAGGTTCTCGTGCCGATATCTGAGCACATCAACCGCCTTGTTGCCATCCGACTTCAATATGACATCATGGGTGTAGAGAACTTGGTCATTGCACGGACTGATTCGGAAGCCGCTACCCTGATTACCTCAAACATTGATGAGCGCGACCACCCCTTTATTTTCGGCTCCACAAACCCGGATCTCCCCCCTCTTGTGAATGTTATGACAGACGCCGAGAATGCCGGAAAGTCTGGTGATGAATTGCAAGCGGTTGAGGACGCTTGGACTACGTCTGCAAACTTGCAGTTGTTCCCCGAGACCTTGGCTAATGCCTTGACTGCACAAGGTGTATCAAAGGCTACCGTTGATCGATTCATCTCCCGTGTTGCGCACTCGTCATTCCCTCAAGCAGTAGCCATCGCACAGAGAGAATTTGGTCTCAAGTCTGTACCCTACTGGAACTGGGATACACCTCGGACCCGGGAAGGGTTCTATCGCTACCAAGGTGGCACCCAGTGTGCGATTAAACGGTCTATTGAGTATGCACCATACGCCGATGCCCTTTGGATGGAAACAAAGAAACCGATCTTGGCTCAAGCCCAAGAGTTCGCTCGTGGGGTCCATGCTGCACGCCCAGGTCACTGGTTGGCGTACAACCTCAGCCCTTCCTTCAACTGGGAGGCTGCTGGCTTGAATAGTCAGGATATGAAAGGTTTCGTCTGGGAGCTAGGTAAACTCGGTTTCGTCTGGCAATTTATTACGGTCAGTACTTGACAAATTACCTACTCACAATCAAACTGACTGGATCTTACCTGTCAGCTCGGCGGCTTGCACTCCAATGCGTACATAAGCGACCTCTTTGCTCGCTCATATGCGAAGGAAGGTATGAAAGCGTACGTGGAGATTGTCCAGAGCAAAGAGCGGGAGATTGGCTGCGATGTCTTGACGCATCAAAAGGTTTGCTACTACGACCTCATGCACGCGCCCTGAAGCTAATACTTGAATAGTGGAGTGGTGCCGATTATGCCGATAATCTCATAAAGACCGTCACCGGTGGTGTATCGTCCACAGCAGCCATGGGCAAGGGTGTCACGGAGGACCAGTTTAAGGCCAAACTATGATCTACGGCACTCGTGGTCATCTTAAATTGATCGTAGAACACATTCTATCTTCACAGCATTACAAAGTTTACAAATACATCAGGATTAACATTTGTATTTCAAGTTGTGGTCCGGGACCCTTGAGTCCACGGCTGTAGTTTTATCTTTTTTTTTCCCAGTAGAATACTACTGGATTATGCGCATCTTATCGGCAGTTGCCGATTGCTCCATGATGTCGATTGCCGCAGCTTCAAGTTCGATGTACAATTGAAAGCCAACTACGCGGCGCGTCAGAAGAATCAATCATCGTGATGAGTTCTGAAAATCGTGTACAAGTGGCTGCTTCCTTCATCCTTCAATCGCCTCCAGGAGAGATCAACGACGTCTTAAATGGTGCCCAGTATTTAGTACCTTGTCTTCTCCGCGCAACGCTGACTTCTGGTCCATTTTCCTGCAGATGTTCGCGTCATCGTAGATGATGACGCGGGATTAGAGGAAGGCATCCTTCCTGCCCTTCGGGAATATAATATCGCGCAGTTCACAACAGTCGAAGTGCCAGGCGAACACCATCAAGTCAGTATCTAACTCAACGCGTCGGGATGCCGTTATTCAATGGATCTTGTCCTAGACAATAATTAGCGAATTTGCACGTGTACCCGACACCGAAGAGGAACGCTACCTAGACCCACGATCTAAAATTTCTTTTGTTTTCAACCACTTGACTCTAGTGAGTCCCCACGTTCAGTCACGAGCGGTGGTCACCGATGGTGTTAGTAGGAAGCCACAGATCCTCAGTCGGAGGAGCCTTCGGAAGTTGAGCCTCAGCGGTCAGTGGATTCATTGTCATGCATTGATGCCCATTGGATTTATCAGAGATCAGTGCTGCGTTGGAATCTGCTGCTTTGTCGTACTTGAACTCACACTATCACGATGGAGTTGTTACTGTGCTAGCCATGTCGACCACCCGATTCGCAATCCAGATAGTCTCCAATAAATACAACCCATCAAACTACTGGTTCGTTCATTATCACACATCATGTTTGTCGAACTAAATAATCTCTGCAGGGCTGGTAGATGGCGCTCGCACTACGAGATAGATTTTGAGAGTAGGACCATACAGGGAAGGGTCCTCGTGAATGTTCACTACTATGAACAGGGCAATGTAAGACTTCGCAGGATACAAATTCATTGGTCTGACGTTTGGTATAGGTCCAACTCAGCACATCGAATGACTCGTCAATATCAATACCGGCTGCTGTCTCATCACTATCTCCTGCGTCATCAGCATCTAAAATATTTGCATTGATCGAGGCTGAAGAGTCGCGATGCCAGGCATCCCTGAATGATGCATATCATGAGATGGGAGAGAAGGCGTTCAAAGGGTTGAGGCGCGCCTTGCCTCTGACGCGACAGAAGATAGACTGGGATAAGGTGAGTTCCTTGTTATGACGGACATCATCCCGACTGAATTTATCTAGACTATGGGATACAAATTGGGCGCTGAGCTTACTGCTAGCAATCGTGCCTTTGGCGCCCAACCTCGATAGTGGTCATCAGCAATTGACTTACGTCAAGGGATACCTCTTGGTTTTCACTTATGTAGTTGTATCCTGTAGGAATGAAAAACCATTTCACTGAAATGACCCATATAAGCACCCAACTTGCAATTCGGCAAACATTTTAGCGCATATGGTGACAGTCTCACTCGCACATAGATCTCTATGGCGTACTTTGTACAAGTGGTGCGCACGGACGATTGTAGCTTATACTGACATGAAAGGCCCGCATGCTTCGACTACCAACTTGTTTGTAATCTTGGTGCTAATCGGTATCGGCTTGCCCGAGAGCTCAGCTGGGATGATTCCGACATGTTAGATGGAAATGACAGGTGGCATATACCATTTTCAAGCTTACACCAATAAATACAAGATCTATACCACAAACTCCATGCAGGTGAGTGTACGAGATACTAAGCAATTAACGGCACAGGGCAGACATCATAGACATTGTTTGTCAGGCTTCCGGTATTGCCTCCCGCTGCCCGATCAAACTTGCGAATACCTCGGATGCAACACTCATATGAAATGTGAGAGATGCTTGCGTGTAAGGCAATGAAATGAGGGTTGGGTGATGAGTATGACTCGTTCAGGGGCAGCGTGATTCCAAAACGTGACAGCTTTGCCGAGAAAGTCCGGGTGTATCCACTAGTACTTGTCGCCAACCCTCTTTCCTCGTTAACTCGTGGAGTGCTGATCAATACGAGGCATTGCGAGGACGAAAGCCTGCAAGCTCACCTCCATCCGTCAAAGCATACTTTCAGTTTATCGAAGGCAGCGTGGACATCATAGTAGAGATTCATGCCGTTGGAAGAATCGTCTGCGAGCCTTTCCATTCTTCCAATAATATTTACCGACATTCTTGAGTAGTGACGAATGATATCCCACGTTATAGCTGAAGCATGTGTCTGCGTAATCCAACTTGAGTAGTCATGCTGACCCGGCAAAGAAATCCGTATCCAGGACGACCCGTTTCAGGATGTACGCAGTATGCAAGGTTGTCAAACCTCGATGGGCATCATGTATAACACTCTGTATAACATGCCACTGGCAACATGCCTGACAGCTGTTATAGGCGCTGTCTCGCCGATTGACCCATTAGAAATTCAAATCACTCCACTTTTGTTTTTACCAATGAAAACAGTTTCAAACCCACTGTCGCGTCGTCGAAAAATGGCAGTTGTATCACTGATCAAGATGTCGTCAAAAGTCGGCCTGGCTTGGCTGGGGATTGGGTCTGATCATCTGATGATTGATAAGATCCAGCTGTGACTACAAAGGGGGATATCGTGTTGGTATACACAACAGATTTTGGCTTCGAAATTTCGGCTTACATGACCATAGCAGAAACACGAACAAAGTCCTGGCGAGGCCGGTTTGCGGGTAGATCTGCAGATATGCATGTGGAAATAGCGCAGGCGATATCGCGCTCGGAGCTTTCGCCACCCATTTCGGGGGTGTTCCTTAGCATCGTGTCTAGAACCCTTGACATGTCCATATCTTGCACGCTTTGTGGAGTTCTGATTCACTTCTTTCCTCGTTGCTGGTTGCTCTATCTTGTCGAGCCCGCATAAGTTGCAGTGAATATCTGAGCGTTTTGCATGGCTTCAAGTCGTGAAGTCACCTGTGTTTCATGAATGAGCCATTTGACATGATGTGAGGTAGCAAGCGAGTGCTCCGAAAAGTACTGTAAGGCGAGTATTAAATCGCAGGCTTTGTTGCCAGTTATAGTGGCTCTTGGGTGGCTCCGAACAAGTTGGCTCATTGTATTCAACAGTGTGGGGAAAAGAAGTACTTATGTAAATAAAAGCTTGATTGAATTTGGGACCCAAGTTACGTTCATAGTTTACTGCATAACAAGGCTCAAGCGCTCATGTCTTGCCACCGTTGTTCACAGTCCACCAGCACACCCGCCAACTTTCTTCTACGGTGCAGGAGCTGCAACAAATACTGGCATCATAGTAAGTGATCAGTTGCCTGTAAAGACGGAGCATCTAATAAGAAACACACCCATCATTTTGTTTGTCACTAGGATGTCACCCCCCTCCCCTCGAAAGCGATGAACTCCTTAAGCTCATCCGCTCCCAAAACGCAGGTGACCGCGAGAATGGCCTCGATAGCTGGAAATGCAAACGTTGTAAGAAGAATCAAGCGGCTCAAATCATTGGCAAAACTGCAGTTCAATCGCTGAAACCGAGACCGGACGACAACCAACAGCCACAGCCCTCCTTTCAGGCGCAAACATCGCTGGGACTTTCACTTCTAAAGGACAAGGGGAAAACAGACCCGAAGATTGTTACTCGCGTCGGTGGGCCAGCGGGACCTAGCATCGAGGCAACCACCCATATACTCCATACTGCCGAACGGACACAACACAACGACCGCGGTAGCCAGCACCAACAACAGGGTAATCATCCAGGTAGTCAGATGAGAAGTTTAGGTGCTGAAAAACTACGCTCCGTAATTTTGCGCCCTGATCGCCCATGTTTTCCAGATAAACTTCCGACAACTACAGTTAAAAGGCTCCAAGTGAAACGTGTGCTTCAAGTGGAGCACCTTGATGGTCCTAAAGCGGATTGTGACTATCCCAATAAGACGGAGCTCTGTCCAGATCAGCCTGCTGTGCCTCTCAAGTACGCCCGTGCTCCAGATGGAAAGAAGGTCGTCTCGTCCGGACATCCACCAAGATTGGAGCAGCTTGAAGATGTCAAATACGTAAATCCTTCACGCATAAAAAAACGTACAGCAAAAAAAGAAGATACGCCTCCCTCTCGTTCTGTTACTTTGTTCTCCGAAAGGGTTTATTCTCCATTTACTTCACTTCCTGTTCAAGACGAGGAACATATTCATTATGATTCGGTGGTGAAGAGTCCTCGGGGCAATGGACAAGAAGTCGGTATTCATACAGATGCTCCTCCAAGACTCCCCGTTGGACATGGCGACATCCAAATGAAGGATGTCAGTGATGATATCTACGAACCTCCTGTCCCACAGTTTAGTGGTTCCACTCTCGTTTCATCCAGTTCGAGAACGTCTAGCGAGCAGCAAGGAGGCGGTTCTGTGACGCAAGAAGGTCACCAGACCATCCAACAACAAGGAGTTGTTCAATTGCGTCATCAACTCGAAGGCCAGAGCAGCCTTAAGGTCGGACTTAAGTTTAGAGTGCAAACAGTTCTTTCCTGACGTGATTCAACAGCAAATACCGAAGGCAGAGGCAGAACCTTTGCTAGGCCCGGATTGGTTGAAAGCTCGATACTCGGTTGCCAATGATTCATGGCGCTCTTTTTGCGATCCACATCGCCAAATGTATGGTGTCAGCAGACGCAAGAAACTTACAACTAAATTTCTTGGTGATCCGGTACAATCGTTGGCGACAACAAATAGAGAACCACTCTGGTTTTTTTCCTGTCATGATTGGATTCAGCAGACACAAGCCCATTCATGTTTGGAAACCAGATAATTGACACATCTTCAGTACTAGTAACATGAGTAACTTAAAACAATTTCATATACGTTGTTCTTGTCTACAGTTATACTAATGATCCATAATAATTCACTTGGCTACCGCTGTAATGTCCCGCTGCTGCAAGATATTGTTTACTTCTTCCCATAGCTTGCGATAATACCGACCTTTAGGTAATGTGTCTAAAGGATACTGCCACGCACTGATTCTCCTCAGTCGGGGAAAGATATCAGACAGGGCACATGCGACATCTTGTGGATTGGCCAACCTCGAATCTCCCAAGCTAAGGCAAGTCACTGCCAAATTACGTGTCAGAGCTGCCTGCCGTGAGGACAGGGACGTTATGGGACAGGGTGAGAGGGCATTTAAGACTATCGCAATTTGATAGAGCCTCGGACACAGAGCGCACAACGATTGGAGACCGCGGACAGTGATCGATAATTTAGGTTCAGAAGCGGACGGATGCCAGCCACGCCTATCATTGAGACAAAAGACCTCAAGTTCTGGCCAGGAGCTTGCCATCACCGTAAGATCCGAGTCACTCAGAGAAAATGACAGGCACACGCCCAGATCAAAAACTCGTAGTTTGGTGAAAGCGAAAAGTGGCTTGAATACATCCACCGTGATGATCTTTGAGTTGGGAAGAAGCTGGGAGACTGCGAGTATAGCATTTGAAAGGCTGTCGCGCACTTCAATAGAACGCATCGTGCTGCATTCCTTGTCGCATTGACTGGAATAAAGTGTGCTAAAACACTCTGTTAAGGAAGTAGAAGTCGGTGCTTCAGAGATGTCGAAGATAACTGACTGCAGAGGCCTGCATCCAGGTTCTACAAAGGATGTGATAATTGGGATACTATATGCACGAAGATGTAGATCGCGCAGATTGCAGAACCACGAGCTAGCAGCACAATCCCTTGCTGTCCTGGAACTACGAGGCGCTAAGCTTCCGTGGTCGCTTGATACCCACGAAGGGATGCCCAAGCTTAAAGTCGTGAGTGACTTGAGTTGAGATAGGCGCAGAAGATCTGTTTCGCTGATGGTCGATGACTTGCATTCTAAGGCAGTGAGACGAGGTAGCTGACAAATGGTCTGAACGGCAGAGGGACCCTCGTCTTCCGATAAAGATATGACAGAATGCTTGCTTATTGATATGCTGTGAAGGTTGGGGCAGAGTTCGGGCAGTAAGGTTAGGAAGGGAAAGTCGGGAGGTTTGTGGAAAAAGAAATCCAGCTCGAGGGACTCTAGGGTAGGACTCAGGAATAGTCGGATATATACATAACGTGATTGATCAGTGTCAGTCCACGATAGTCGACGGAGGTTGGGGAACAACGAGGTCGTGATGCGCATCATGCTTAATAATCGCAGTCGTTCTGTAAGGGCGACTTGGGAATGGGTATCTGAAAATGCAAGAGGGGGACATGATAATTTACGGACACGAGACGCAGCTCCTTGGAAGGACGCGCATGGTACTGATGTCCGTGTGTCCTTGAAGGACTGAGTCAGTTATCACGGTGTCTATGATTCAATTGTTCACGCACATTGGATATCACTGGTTTCATATATTGGAGCAAGGGCCTTACGTCCGGCAAGTCTGACCATAAAAAGTCCAATGCCAGAGGTGATAGGAAATGACATGTCCGAGCGAGAGCGTTGAGCTGGCTGCATGATGTGTCTGCTTCTTGCACCGCAGCAAGTATGTTCAGCAAGATTTCGTTAACTAGTAATGCATGATGCATGGTAGATATGGGAGGGAAGGTGCGAGTATGGCTCCTGAGGCGCCGAGCGAGAGCGATAAATATGATAGATGAGAGATCAACCCCGATTAATTGCCTTACGCAAAGATAGGCACTTGTTTGTGGAGGCGATAATTTGTTACCGAGGGTGAAACAAAAAGCTTTTGTACTGAAAGGATTCTATGATTCATGCCATGAGACTGTTCGGCATGGGAAGTCGTGAGAAGTAGAAGGCTGGGGATGATGCTTCATTGGCGGAGCTACCGTGGAACTATTGTCTTGCCGTGCAAGACGTGCAGGGACATAAGCCGTGTGGCAAAGCTTGGAATTCAATGTTGCCGAAACCCGGTGCTATCATCCACTACATTTCCCTCATCCGAGGGACATCCGTGAATGACTCCTTATTAATTATTTCATACAGCCTAAGGCAGAAGATATCGTATGAGTGTTCTCAAATGAATGCGACGAAACCCTGACCTGAAACGGCTGACTTTTAAACACAAGTCTAGAAATGATCATAGCGCTGGCTGCCATCCTTTTGTGTTCTCCATTAATGTGAACCAAATATATCGCACCGCGAGAGTAGGAGATCGCGTTATCGCATACTAGTAGACATGGGGATATTTGTGTGACAGCGTTGAGATCCTAGCTGCAAGTGGGCCAATGCTCTCTGCAGAAGAAAGTTCCCAGAAAACTCTGTTGGTACGTGTTCGAGTCGGAACTTGGAGATTGTGACTCGAGTGAAGTATGAGGTCGGGAACTGGGCCTGATAGCATTCGACTAGATGAAAATGACTCGCTACTAGGTTTACCGCCGTAAGAAGTGCAGTGCAGCGCCCTGCCATAGGTGCGGATCATGAGCTATCTCCCCCTGATTCGGGAAGCGCATCAACGGCACAAGTACTAAATGGCAAATGGCGGTGATCCGAAAAGATTTTTTGAAGAATTTCTAGACCTGCATCTGAAGTCTAGGATGCAGCCGAGCAGAGTTTACATACAGCTGCATGATTTTGCCTTGGAAACAGAGACCGAGATCCCAAGCTGCGGCCATTGACTCAGATATGTACCGCCCTGCTGCGAAAGGTTGGCTATACCGCACAAAATGCTGTTGGGACCGAGCGGTGCGTGGCAATCAAGGCGGCTTGTGCTACCGAACTAGGACAGCATCAAAATTCTGATCCTATGAAAATATACGTGATTTAGATGGTGAATTGACAGTTGCTCACATACCAAACAGCACGGACCGTCAAATCTGAGTTTGAGGCTATTGCGGAGGCATCAAGTCACTTACAAGTTGAGCAAAGCCGAAATGAAGCGAAAACCAGCGCGGCACGGAGGCAATAATATTATGTTGATTTTCGAGTTGTTTCGGGTCCCATAACGTCAAGTAAGGTTAACATGTAATACTTATACACTAGCGGGGAATCCTTAAAGCAATGCACCAATCTAGATCCTAGTACGTCAAGAGCCTCATGAACAAAGGTTGATAACGGACTCGCCAGATAATTTGGAGGTACAGTTTATTTTTTTTTGAGCGTGCGGGGCTGTCAAGTAAGGTTCCGCGGAGAGTGAAACACGAGCAGCCGAATGACTTGCCGACACTCTGCCGTGAACTGCATCGACAACATTAGTGCCGACGGAGCAGCAAGAGCAACAGACCTCGATATCGACTCAGTTTGCCGACACTACCCCAGTTGGTTAGTCATGCCAGTGACTGGCCGAATTTACAGTCCGCTCGGTAGACGCACTACACATGTAAGAGTATGCGTTGAGAATTAGATAATAGGGCACGGAACAGGCCCATCAAATTCAATGTCCGACGTCGGCAGTGGCGGCAGTGATATCCGGTCACGCAGCAAACTAACGAATTTGCTTGGAATATGATAGTAGTATATGCATAGAATGTGCGCAGTCAAGTAGCTCAAGTGGTACAAAATTGAGTGCTGTAGACGAAAATCATGAAATGGTGGACACTCACGAATAAGTAGACCGATAGTAAACTAACTACCACTCAACTCTAATAGTTCATTTCTCATCGCTTATCATCAAATAAACCGAAGAAATAAACTGGGTTCCAAGTGCTAGCATTGAAGGTACTGTACTGACCTGTGACCCCTCACCGCGCCACGCGACCCCTCCACTTCTCCTTTGCCTTCATGACATGACGATCGTCGACGAGAATGATCTTATTCGCTTGCTCAACAGTATCCAGGAACTTTCTGACGAGATTACGCAGAGCCGCTCTGTATCATTTTCCCTCCATGCCTCAGCTGGTGCTATAAAGGTTTTGCCTCCTTTTAGTAAAGTCACAAACCCCCGATTGATATAGAACCTTAGACTCAAGCGGCACATGCACAGACAGGGTTCGTCCTTCGTAGGTGGGAGCATGAATGTTGAGCGGTATCTGTAGATTGGACTGACCATGCCGCAGGTTCAACCTCGACAAGGTTCAAGGTTTGTCCTACTCATTGCTGATATATTTTACTGGACTAATGGACACAGACGTGTACGATGGAGAACTAGAACGCATGAACGCCTCTCTTGCAGCTGAGAATCAGACGCTGCAACACGACAACAAACAACTTGGTGCGCTTATTCGAGAGTACGAGCAGACACTTGAAAGCGTAATGAGTGCATTCCGCACAAGAGCTGTACGTGTATATATTCACGTCATGGCAGTTCTTTGATAACCGACAAAATATGACCTCTTTCTTCCCTTGCCTCGATCCGCCGCCCTATGTACATGTGTTACCCGCGGTAATTAATCTGCAGCGTGACGTCCAAGATCACGAACTCGCTCTCATTCGCGAGTACGAATCCAAGCTTATTGCCAGGGAATCGGAAGACCTTCTCCGTGCACTGTCGACTAGCACTGCTCAATCCGCGGCCCTCGGGCGGATATCAAAGACGCTTCGCCATTTCATGCGCGTACTGAATGGCGAGGATGCCGAAGTTGCTGATACTCCTTCGCCTGAGGCAAAGCAAGGCGATACGGAGGAATTTGATTTCGAAGAAAAGAAGGATTGGTCTCTTGAGAGGGATTGTGAACTCGCACGGTTGGAACGAGAGAATTCTGTATTGCGGAGAATGTTGAGGATGGAGGTATATGAAGTCGAGGCTGATGCCAAATGGAATGTTACAGATTATGCAGTAGACAACTCACGCCTGCTCGGATCACGTCCTGGATCAAGCAAGCATCCTCCTCAGCCTCTGCAACCACCGAAGAAAACACTAGGTGGTCCGCCAGGCACAGTGGGACCGTACGGAACGTACAAGAAGGGCAAATCAGGCTGAACAGAGCGTGAGGCCTTT